CTCCTTGACTTCGCGTCGAAACCGCACGCTTGACCTTGCAGGTCTGTGCGGGAAGCCCCGCCTACATCGAAAGAGAAATCGGTTCCCCGGCGGGACCACTTGTGGAGCTCGTAGTGAGGGAACTGCAGGTGCGCCAAACGTTGTCGCACCGCTGGCGTCGTTTGTTAGTGTTAGTTTCTTGCGATTTCGACGAGGGGGCGCGGTCGCCGAAACGTTTGTTCCGTCCGGTCCAAAATGGGAGTCAGGGTGAAGGTCCACAGCCCCCGTGTTTACCCGAACTACTGTTCTGAGGCTTGTTCGGGTTTCGAAAATCGCTACACATTTTATGCCGCCCTCTCTCGTTGATTTCATACCTTGCCCGGATTCAGTGTTGTTCGTTGCCTTCTGTGTCGGTTAAAGAACCGGCAGAGCACCTTGGCTAATTGCCGTTCGAAGGATGTGGTTGCTGGCCCAGTGCTTCGTGCACGAGGACCGACAGCTCTGTGCAGAGCTACCCAGAGAATATCATATCATGGCACCGTACCCCATCACCAAAGGCCGATCATCCTGTACACGCCCCCTGCCCGTCGGCGCCCCCCCTCCTTCCCATGGAATCGATGCGTGACACATGATACGCTGACGTGGAGGCAATCGACCAAGAGAGCAGCACGCCCAGGCCCTCGAAATCCCCTCCCTCGAAAAGTGCTGAACACCCCGTTCCTACCCTGCTTGTTCTGTTCGTTTGGGTTTTGTCCGGGTTGTTTAAGAGCTCCGGACGGACCGTGGTGATTACCGCCATCGAACGCCACGTGGCCGGTGTCTTCGGGCTGGTGGACACCCTCCGTCCTGAGGCGAAGGGGGTCGTTTCCGAGCTCACGGGTATGGGTCTCGAGGTCAGTGGCGGATGTCCTGAGTGGTTGACCTTCGCCTCAACGGCTAACGCAAGCAACACAAAATACAACAGTGCGCCGATTTTTACATGGTCGCCAGAACCTCCTTGCTTGCTCCGAACACATGCGCATGTATGTCTCAGCTTCATGATGTCGTTGATGTCGAGCGTGCTACTTTCCGCTCCCGCGCAACGCTGACGTCCGGTGGAATGTGCCTCAACACAACCACCACGGTGAAACTACCCACAGGTGTGGATGCTGACGGGCGACAACCGGCGGGCAGCCCACGAGGTGAGAAAAAAAAAAAAGAGGACGGGGGTCAACAGCACAGCACGTCTCCCGCACCGTGTATCTTTGGAATGACGAGCCGCTGGTGCGTGTTGCCAGGTAACTTGTTGGGAAAGAAGAGACGCTGTCCTCTGCCCGCGAGGGGAACACGTTCCGGAACGTTTGATTGATGCGCCGGGCTCATCGTCGGCTTGCCGAGTGGCGTTGGCGTCGCGGCTGCACGCGTGTAGCCATCGCGGCTGCACGCGTGTAGCGGGTCTTGGACGTCCATCAGCACCGGACCTCGATCGTGAAAGCCCCACCTCCCTACTTGCCGTGCTCTTCGTAGTGTTTGCCATGACAATGGATGAGCCATTCCTCATGGACGCTTTTTCTCACGAATTCGTTGTTCCTACCTCAAAATGCAGGACACGCAAAAACGCCCGACAAAGAATCGGAGCTAAACTGATACAATCAGGATGACCTTGCGCTTAACCAGTACAATAGACTTGAGTTTCGTTTCTCCGCCATGGGCTGAACTTCGAAGATGCTTTGCAGTATCCCCCGGCGGCGCCGCTGTTGGAGCAGACCTGCAATGACCTTGATGTGGTCGCTGTCTACTCGATTACTTACGCTCACGCACCCCTCCTTATCGGGTGGTGACGCACAGGTGGCGAGGAGGGCAGGAATACCGCCGCACCGCGTCTGCGCCGAGGTGCTTCCCGGGGACAAGGCTTCCAAGATCGAGGAGCTCCAGGTCGGTGAATGTTTCTGCGGCTTTGTTCTACGTTTCAGAACCTGTGCTGCTGTGTGTTACTGTATGATGAAGCACCTTCGAGGGGTCGCAGACATGCGTGGTTCTCTGTCGCACAAGGGACTCGTCGTTTCGGCTGAACTGGTTGCATTGACGCTTGCTTTTTGTCAAGAACGCAACGCGGTGAAGTGTGCATGCACAGCATAGGTCGGAGCGCAATCGCGACACTAGCGGGGGGCGACAAAGCACCCGTCTTCTCATGGTCTCCCCTCTGCTACTGTTGCTGCTGTTACCCTCCTGTGGTTTGCGGGTTTTCAGGAGGATGGAAAGGCGGTCGCGATGATCGGGGACGGAATCAACGATGCACCGGCGCTCGCAACAGCGGACGTGGGCATAGCCGTCGGCGGTGGGACAGACGTGGCCGTCGAGTCGGCGGATGTGGTAAGCGGTGCCCTGAGGCGCGGGCTGTTCCGATGCACAAACAGCAACGTAACCAGTTTTATTTTATTTATCTTTCAAAAAGTATCGATCAACTCCAGCCCGGGGCGTCATCCTGATTAAGGTACGCGTAGGAACTCCTCTGCATCCGTCTGCCGATCGTTCTAAACACTTGTTACCCGTCATCTCTCTCTGTCTGCGCCATCTCGTCCCCTCTTTTTTCTGTGGTCGCCCGGTCCCTCTGTCCCTTCGCCCTGCCCTTCGTGGGCATGCCGTTGTAGGTTTTGATGGGATCGAGCATTTGGGATGTCTTCACCTCGCTCGACCTCTGCCGGACCATCCTTGCTCGGGTCCGCTACAACTACTTCTGGGCCCTCTTGTGAGTTCCACGAGGTCTCCTTACCCCCTGTATTGCTTGTGATTTCGCTCACGTAGGTCCTACGCTCTGAGCTTCCACCGTCGCACGCGAGCGATGTGAACCCCATCCGCATGATGTTTCCTGTTTTCCGGTCGAGTTCGGAGCGTTCTCTCGACCCCGTCCCCTCCAGTTCTTCTCTCTCCGCGCCGCTTCAGTATCTCTTTCCTCTCCTCCCTGCCCGCCCCCTGTCCCGTATGGGCTCCATCATCCAGGTACAACAGCGTCGGGCTGCCGATAGCTGCAGGCGTTCTGTTTCCCTTGCTCGAGGTTACTCTGCCGCCAATGCTGGCTGGAGGCGCGATGGTGAGACATTTCAAGCATGCGGCTGCTAGAGCACACGCATTCACGACACTGGTAGGCACCGGAGACAGCCACTCCAGCTTCATTCGGACCGCGTTTCGACGGGCGTAGACTTTCCTCGCCGGGAGACACGACGTGAGGGAAGGGATAACATCTCGTGAATTGCTCCACTTTGGCGTCCCCCCCGCCTCGCGGTCCTCGGAAAATAATCTTGCATCATTTTCCTCCAATCAAGACCCGTATCATGGTATGACGATGGGGCATCGATCCCACACGCTTCTTTTCCAGCATTGGGGCGAAAGTTCTACGGCGGTGACGGTTGTGAGAAAGCATCGCCATTCGCGCTGAGTTTCGCGCCGTGTTTTGGTGCCCCCCCCCCCCCCCCCCCCCCCCCCCCCCCCCCCCCCCCCCCCCCCCCCCCCCCCCCCCCCCNACTGTTTTTTCCCGAAGTAGCTTGCAAGCATTCAAAATTGTCAGCACGCGAGGAACGAAATTTCCTTGTTTGCGTGAAGGTTAATGTACGGCTAAGGCAGGTGTCGTCTTCCTGTTTCCTGTCTTGACCTACCTCTCTTCGTCTATTGGCCTCCGACGTGGAACTCCCAGGCGCTATCGTCGGTCTCCGTACTACTCTCCTCCCTCGCGCTTAGGCTGTACCGCCCCCCCGCCGCCGCGCGAAGGGCGAGGTCCACGCGGTCCTCCGCCGTGGCTGAGGAGTCCGGCACAGCCGGACTGGAGGTATGATACGGCGGTACCTGCGGGCGAAAAATTGAACGACCGTGTACCGTCTGACCGTCTGAGAAAAAGCCAGCAATGAAAAGTCAGGCATAAGCAAATCCGGTATCAGTTCGCTAACCTACCGACAATCTCACTTAGACGCGCGAGAGCTGCGGCGGGTGATCAAGCGAGAGTTTGGTGCCTTGGTACCTTTCGCAGATGTTGCTTGCCGCGATTTCGTTCACCGTAGAGGGGGTGCATGATAGCGTGCGAGTGACTCGCCATGCCGGCGCCCTTCGAAGTGCCACAGTGGCCAGCGGGAGCTTTTGCCTAACGCTGTGAATGCCGAGTTCGATGCTGCGCGCGTCTTTGGGTGCTGTAGCGCAGCGCTGCTGGGGCGAGTACCACGTAGCACACCGACAACGCTTAAGGTGACCGATGAAAATTGCAGTACGTGAGTTTCCTCAGTGTAGAACAGCCTCATCGTGGCGACAACGCCGCTGAACAGGAGATGTTGGAAATAGGGGTCATATCCACGGGGATGCAAATGTTTAACGTATTTTGACGTCAACAAGATGGAGCAGTATTGTCACCGCAACTCGACGCAGGTCAAGGCTAGAAGAAGGCTGTTTGCATTACGGAACGAACATTGGTCGTCTAACACCCAGCCCCCTGCCGCACCCGCTGCCACTCCCGCCGCCCTGTGCTCCCATCCGACCTCCGACGGCCCAACCGTTGATTCCAGTCGGAAACGGCTACCGTGTGGACGTTGGATATTGGTTGCACATGCTTTTGCTGCAGGGAGGGCGCCAATAAGGAGCTGGGGGCCATCGTTGGCTCCGCGGATGGCCTACGCCGCCGCACAGGGGTAATCCATGGCTGTTGTTATGGTCGTCACTGCATCACACGAGCTTGTCTAGATGAACCTTTTGCCCTCGAATGCCTATTTTGAGGACTTTCCAATGTAGGAGTTGTGGATGAGACGCGGCACCAATTCGTGACGCTCAATGCACAGTTTCCTTTTTGAGCCCCCCCTCTTGTTTTCTTCCGTTTTCTTCCTCCGTCAGGCTGGCGTCAAAGGCGGGGGCGGACGAGCAGTCGCCGCTTCTCCCCTCTCCGGACTCCGTGGCCCGTCCGAAAGCTGCTGCCACGGCGCCAACGCCGGCAGCACGAAAACTAGGACGATGTTGCAGCAGCGGCCTTCACCGGCACAATTGCAAGCGCTAGCTCCGCCGAAATGCCCTTGGATCGCCGCTGACCCGGAAACCGGCGGGGTGAGGCCGGGGTGCGCTTGCTCGTGCAGCTTCTGCCGTTGCGTCCGAGCCGAGGAGCCTTGATACTCCCCCTTGTCCGCGCATCGGCGTGACATCTTTACTTCTGAAAGGTGGCGGTGGTGGCGGCGGAGGCTCAATGGACGGAATCGTGCCTGCGGTTCTCTTGTTTTTTCGCCACGGGCTGTATCAGGCGATGAGGTCATCTTGGTCGTGACAAAGCACTCAGTGCGTGCCCGTCCATTTTTTTTGTTTATTTTGACTTGACCCAACGTTCTCTTTCGGAATTATAGATGCAGATGATGCAGGAATTCGGCTTGTCAGCATCTAAACTCAATGACCTGATTTATGCAATATATTCCGAATTTGTGTGTGGCCTTCAAGCAGTTTGAATGTTGAAGGAGGCGTTTTCTCACACGATTGTAAAAGTTCGGATAACTAAGGCCCGAATTACGCAGCAAATGCATCTTACAGTCAATGAATGGATTCGTGCATTTCGTGAATTTGTGTTTGGCCTTGGATAAATTTGCTAGGATTTTCTTCTTACGCTCGTAGAAAGCAATTTGTTTTTTGATTCAGGCGTTGTTCACATGCTTGTTGTAGGCAGTATGTCCAGATATCGTGCTAAACGCGCGTAGGTGAGTAGTCCAATCCTTCAAAGATTGGTTTCTGGTTCCGAAATAACAAAAATTGTTTGATTTCCGTTCATTCTGTCCACTTGCGACTGCTCTGAGCTCATGAAAGACGAGCACGAGATTGCGGCGTTGCCTTCGCGCGACCTAGTCCTGGAGTTCCCTGTGGCTGTGGTCGAAGCGGCACCGGTGCCGGATGTAAGCATCGTGTCTGCTGCTGCTCACACCAGCATCCGTTTGACGTCGTCTTAGCCCTTTTTTTACGGTTCCTTTTTTCGGCTAACTTTTTCCGCTTTTCATCCCAAAAACAACAACTGGCCAAAGCACCCCTTCTTACGGTGTCCTTTTTTAGGAAATAAAGACGACGACCCGTTTTGGACAGCCCATCCTGTCATTTTTCAGGAAGTTTTGGACAGGATTGTGCTGTCATTTTTTCTGCCACAACTACATAACGCATACCTACAAACTTATATCTCTCGACGGTTGATCCCCGCATATTCTAACGGTGTTCACACGAGCTGTGTCATGTGACTGGTACAGAGTCGGTGGCATGAGCGGTGGCCATTGTGTTTTAATTCGGCTGGACCAGGTGGACAACCCGATGTGTGCGGCACAAACAAGCGGCAAACGAGCCGAGAGAGCCTAGACGGTGGGTCTTTTCGTTGTACTGTCAACTTTTGCGAACCCAACTTCCGGGCGCCCTTTATCAGTGGGTGGCGGGGGAACATCGATGAACCAAGGTTGCGACACGGGCGAAAAAAGCAAAAATACCTGCTTGAGACGAGCGGGTCATTTTTCCCGCTGGTCTCGGCTCTCGCGCTCACAATTTTTGAGGGCCCTTCACCCTCCTGGTCTATATCAACCATCGCACAAGAGGCCATACACAAAGCTCATGGCGGATACTTTTGTCATCGCTGTTTTTTCAGTGGGTGGCGAGGGAGCATCGATAAACCAAAGTTGGGACACGGGCTCGCCACCTCAGTTTCCGTGCCTCCAATCGCCCTGTGGTCTCGAACAGCCACCACCCAAGACGGACCATACACACAGCTCGCGGGGGATAACTTTACAGTTGCTGCTGCTTCACTCTGTGCGGAGATATCACCGAAAAACAAAGCGATGGAAGACGTAGTCTATGTACGTGTGACGAGCGGCCGTTACAGGGTCTCTCTTTTTCGGTCGGAAGAGAAAAAGTATCGACCAGCACCATAAGAAGGGGGTTGCGAAGGTGTACCGATTCTGGTAAAAGTCAATCAAGTGCTCCTTAACAGGGTTATCTTTTTTGTAGATCTTTATCGGGTCCTCCCTTTAGGGGGAAAAAAGATATCCGAAAAAAGACACCATAGCAAATGGCCTTTGATGATCAGGATGTTGTTTTAATTTTGTTTCTTTTCTGGAAGCCGGGGTCATTTCTTTGTCTACAGCAGTAGGCTCCGGTGCCACCAGCAGAGGCAATAATCAGAGTTAGTCCCAGTGAGGATACACGTTTTCGGTCTCTTACGCACTGGCATACCCGCGGCCTTGTTTTTGTTGTTTCTGTTTTTTCTGCAAGCCGAGGTCACTTGTTTGTCTATACAGTAGACTCCGGTGCCACCAGCAGGCAATAACCAGAGTTCCAGTGAGGATAGACACCTTCAATCTCTTACGCAATGGCATACCCGCCTTCGAACCACCCTTGGGCATGCAAGCAACCTCGACACACATTTATTTCTACATCGCGTTATCGCCCGGCGTGTCTATCGTGGCCATGTCATTCTTGAGTGGAGCCTCGGTGAGAGAGGGGAGGGCAAGAAGAGGAAGCGGTTGAAGCTCCTACAGCGAGTGGTTGGTGCAGCAGTGCGCAGGACGCACAGCATTGGCAATCGATAGCCTTGAAGGCGATTGTAACGCTTGCCAATCAGCAAGGAAGGCCAGAGATGCCAGATAGCACGTTCGATGTTGTTGTTTTTTCGTGTTTAGTTTTGAAGTCACTGCGGCATTCCTGTGAAGGCTGGCGGGTTGCAACAGAGAGAGGTTGAGGCAGAGGCAAACCGCATAATACTAATCGTCTCCAGCATTTCCGGGCGAGATGCGCCCCCAGTACTCACCAATTGTCGCGTAGATCAGCCAGCTACACCTACTTGGTGCCGGGGATGGAAAGGTGTGAGGTAGGTGGTGGCGGTTGTTCATGTGTCAGGGCGCAAGGAGAGTCAGATGCCTCAAGAGCGGCAGCCAGAGTACAACCGGTGGCCCTCCATGAACAGCCCGGGCTTTATCAACGGTGGTGATGGTGGTGGTGGCCGTTCAAACGTGAACGCCTTCGGGTTGCTTCATGCGAACGTGTTGCCCAAGTCAAGAATACCAACAACAACAACGAGGTTCCGGACTTTTTCGCGGCGGCGAGGGCACGATGGAAGCATGCTGGAAGCAGCGGGCGAGTTTGGTTCCGCAACAGAATCCCGTCTCTACCCAATCACCATTTACTTGTGGCCGATGGCGCCCACAACCACCTGGAGCCCGTTCAACATATATATATATTTGCTTGGAGCGTCGCAATGGTGACGCCGAGTTGTGACGGGAACCCCCTGAGATTTTCAGTCAGAGTGTGCAGCCGTGTGCAGGCTGGACGCAAGCACGCTGGCCGGCGTCAACGCGTTTCGGCGGCAAAAAGACGCGAAGATGGCTTCACCGCTGGTTTGCTGGGGGGGAAGGTGGTGTGCTTCTGCTCGCCGCTCCAGCGCTGCAGCTCAACGCGCTCAAAGATTCTGTTACATACAGTTGGCGCCCGCAGTTAAGACATATTTTGTTAAGAAATTGAGGCTCACTTTTTCACGAAAAATAAGAAAATAGGGTTAAGAAACATAGCTCAACCTGGGTCAGACAATAAGAAATGTCTCAATAAGAAACACAGCGGCGACCGCTGCGCTAATACTACATAAGAAACGAGGGTTTACGGGGGAGTGTGTCGAATAAGAAACAAACCCCACAGCTCTCTCGCTCTTTCTACCGCTCCCCCGACCCCCCCTTCCCATAGTGAAGCGTGGGGTTCTCGTGAAACTCGGGTTGGGTTGGTTCGGAGGGGTAATTAGTCGCAGTTCTCACCCCGCTTCGTGGCTGGAGTACGACTACCGCGTCATCCTGCACTGCTGTGACGAAAGCACGCGTAAATTTAGCATGAAGATGCCGTTGGAGTTGTGCAGCACGGATGAAGACGTCGCAATTGGGGCGTGGGTTCTCCTAGAGGTAGACCCAAAGGAAGGGAGCAGGAGGCGAAAAAGGGTGACTACCCCCAATGTTCGCCTCACGGAACTTGCAACATAATGACGGGGTAGTTTTCGTTGTTGACACGTCAGCGTGCGGGTGAGGCACCATGCGGTGTTTATGCATTTGTTTAGTTTCAGCCCTCACTCATGAGGGGGGTACAGGACCTTGTAGCGATAGCGAGACGTTGCCGCTGGATACATTTCGCTTCTAGGGAGTGGCCTTACGTGCAGCCGTCGGGAGTGAGAATCGGGGTTGAGTACGGGGGTCGAGGGAAGCAGTGCAAATCATTTGATATTTGGAACGTTGTGTAGTATGCAAGCAGAGAAATAAGAAATTGACGANACACGTCAGCGTGCGGGTGAGGCACCATGCGGTGTTTATGCATTTGTTAAGTTTCAGCCCTCACTCATGAGGGGGGTACAGGACCTTGTAGCGATAGCGAGACGTTGCCGCTGGATACATTTCGCTTCTAGGGAGTGGCCTTACGTGCAGCCGTCGGGAGTGAGAATCGGGGTTGAGTACGGGGGTCGAGGGAAGCAGTGCAAATCATTTGATATTTGGAACGTTGTGTAGTATGCAAGCAGAGAAATAAGAAATTGACGATTTAAGAAATTCAGCAGGATTTGGCTGCACGAGCAAATGAGAAACTTGGAATATGAAACTGAACGACATACGCTGAGTATATAGCCCACAAAAAGAATTCGAGGCTGGACCTGAAATAAGCGTTTCTTGACTGCGGGCGCCAACTGTACTGTCGAGACAGCAACAACATGGATGACACTGATGGTGTATAATCAGGCCGAACGCTAACCTTGCATGTGGGCAAACATCCCACGCCCTCTCCCGGTGGCCTCAGCATCCGTACCACATTGCACACGAGCATCACTGCGCCAACCCGGAGGCTTCGGGCTTGCAGGTGGCAACGGGTATCGGGTGTACATAGAAACGGCCGTTGAAACTAATTGCACGTTTGCTCAGCTGCGCCGCTGCGCCGACTTTTCGGACAATCCGCGTGCCGGTTCGGACACATACCGGGTTTCGCCGCCGACACGTCGTGACTTGACAACATCACCTTGACACGTTAGGCTGGACATTGGACACAACATCCCTGTGAAGAGGAAAGAAGGGGCAGAGACTCTGGAAATTGGACACGGCGAACCACGCGACCACACCCACCCACTAGGTGAGTCATCTCCATCCTGGTTCAAACGATGGGTATGTTCACGTATAGGCCACTGATGTCAGACGTGTTGGGTTCTGTAGAACTCTCCTCCGAACCATGCACTGGGTGATTGCAACCTGCTGCTCTGTGTAACCGCTCCGTTCCGGCCGAATCGCAGCAACCACGCTTGACCTCGGCGGTCGCTTTTGTGCGTGCTTATATGCATTGAATTGGTGCGGCTTCAAGCTTTCGGTTCTACATGTAGACGAAAATGATGAAGCGGTCGTGCCTGGGTGTGCGCCTTTCCTTCAAGAACTCGAGATTCACAGGAGCTGCGATTTGTCCCTCTCCCTCCGCCTCACTCTCTTTTTCTGACAGCAGTCGTACCCGTCCCACTCGGGCGAAACCGATACGATGGTGGCAATGGCAGACCCACAGGGAACGGTGGGAGGGGAAGGGGGATTGTTGGCTCGTGTAGTTGCGGCTTCGGCAACGGCTTGCGAGGAGCAGCAGGTCGCCCGGGTGAGATGTTTGCGGCGCCTGCTAAAGCTGGAAGCGGTGACATGCATATGCTTTTGTGTGTCCGCGGTATGTAGATTTGGGGACAGTTTTGGAACCCCGCAGTTTGTTTGGTTTGCCTCTAGGCTCAAGAGAGCCATAGCGGACATCTTCGAAGGCCGCTCATTGGGGAAGGAAAAACGCCAGAACATCAGCTGGGACACGATGACCGAGTCATAACTTTTGGGGAGGGGGTCATGACTAAGCATATTCAGAGTACGCGGTCTATTTTGCCCCCCCATGTTCGCCCCGCATCAGATCCGAAGAAACATAATTTTTGTCTTTCCGTCCATATCCGAGGACCGACAACGGCTGGGAAGCATAATGCGCCACCAACGCCAACGAACGACCTCCCCCCCCCAAACCATCACACGCAAGTCCAGATCAATGATGATGCTATAGCGAAGTTTCTCGACGGTGGAGGCGTTCCCCTGGACAAGTACAAGCGGGCGACCTCGAGAGTCCCTCTCCCGCTCAAGTTCGACGACGCCGCGCAGGTAGGGTTGACGCCGTTCCCGTTCGCTCCAACCCCTTTCCCCTCCGTATATACATCGTCACGGTCTGATTGGTTTGTATCTTTCGCGGCAGAAGACGGAAGAGCTAGAGACCGCCTTTTGAGTTTCTGGGACGCGATTTCTCCCGTGTGGTGTTTCTGCGCAATTTGTGTTGCCGTATACCAGGTATGTGTTATGAGGTTACTTTTGTAGCCCGGGCGAAAAGCAGCTGGCCATGTTTGAGGCGTCTGGGCCAGCGGGTGAGAATCTTCTATATCCCAAAGTGGAACGAAGGATGATGGACTCAACCCAGGATGAAAAACATGTGCCTCTCTGTGCATACGCATAGGCTTGGCGAATCAATCCCTTCTGTTCGTTCGAGAGAAGAGGCGCTATCTTGTAGGAGTATGTTCTTCATGTTCCGCGTTCGACCGACCGCGAACGCAGGAGATAAATTTTCACAGCCTTTTGGCGCTGCTGTCGTTCGGGGGGGCCCACGAGCCTGAGCTTCTAAGACTGACGGGTTCGAACGTGGACGATGCTGCCAAATTCGGTCTCATCGGCTCGCACCTCAGCAGGTACGATGTCTAGTGCGGAATGTTTGGCTACGGCTGCTTCACACGCAGCATTTCTGGTGTGGAATGTTTTGGCTACGATTGCTACTGGTGGCTGAGCGGATGTTGGTGTTTTTCCTTGACGTCGCGCGCGACGCGTTCATTGTCGACTCGACACTACCTCCTAAGGCGCCCCCGCGTGCGCAGGGAAAAGCTGGACGCTACTTGGATGAAGAACGCCCATGTCGGGAGTGTTTCGGAAGGATTCAAGATTCCGGTTCGGGAGGATGCTCCGTCGACCATCCCGGGTGGGTCGTTGGTAGATATATCGTAGAACATGCATCCTACACATGGGCGGGTACGATTGTGATGTATGGGTTTTGAGTCCGAAGTTCAAGCCGTACAAGTATGGCATTGGAAAGATTTCTTCGCCAAATACGAGATTTTGCCGTGATTGGGATAGTTGGAATGCACTTCCTACCTGTCAACGTGTTGAAAGGTGCGAATAGCTTGTTCGCCCTAACTGCTGGTGGTTAAGGCGCTTTTGATGACGCTGCGTCGGCTCATGTCATACACACACCCCTGCGTCACTCTGTACCCCCTCTCTATGCTGCCCCATCTTCACTGCACGCCTCTTTTGCCTCGACCCGCGCTTTATTTCCCTCAAGGCGTCACCGTCGACAGGCCCGGGGCGCTGGTGTCCCATGCTCAGGCGCTGTGCTCGGTACTCAATGAGACGGGCGAGGCATTGCTATCGCGGGGGTACACGGATATGACGCAGTTCATCCTGCACTCGGCCAGGTGTGGTTGGTTTTCTTCCTCGTTGTTCGCGTGATTTGCTTTGGTTTTCTCATAGTGATGACGTCACTTGTCCTCTGTGCCCAGCGGAGGCACAAGTCGACTGTCCGTCAAGGCTTAGTCGATGCTTGGTCCGAGGGAGCGTCTCCGAGAAGGTATTGATAGGCGCCGTGTGCCTGTTTCTCTTTTGCCAACAGCGAAGTGGAGGCGCGATCGGCAACCTGCCTCGAGTCCGCTTCGCAGGCGAATGGGGGTCACATCGTTCCGCCTCTCTTTTCTGGACCGTTACATTCATTGGAGAGAAGTGAAGATTGGATAAGCCGAGATCCTCGTAGTACGTAGGTCGCTGAAGGCTGCGCACCCCTCAGCTTCAGGGGGCAGATGGGCATCCCAACCCGGTTTGTGGAGGAAATAGAGGGCAGGGACTGATGTCGCCCATCGGCAATGGATTGTCGGGCCAAATTTCAGCACCGCTGTTTGGACCTGTAGAAAAACTATGGGCAAGGTGGTCATTCCTCTTTCTCGCCATCTGGTAGATAGCCTTTCTGCTGGGGAGGTTGATGCAATTCCTCATGGTTGCCCTTGACGTTCGAGCTAGGGAAGTGTGTAACGCTCGTATTTGCTTGCTGCCTTTATTTGGTTGTGACCGGCACGAAGGGAATGCGAAACAATGAGCTTCGTTCGCTTCCTCGGGGTACCACCTGAAAGTATGACGTGGTGGGTGTTTGACGTACTTCATCATGCGCTTCCACTTCGAAGTACTTTTCATATGTGCCGATTGAGCTGGGCATCGCGAGCGGCATGGAAAGCGTGCGCTACGACTTATGGAAGAAGTCTCGTTGTGCGTGGACACAGGGGTATATGCTCTTGATTGGAGCGTTGATGCCAGCACCAAATCCAGGCGCACACATAACCACGATAACCCGCAGTCATAGCATTATGGCAATATAATTTGACACCAATGAGCCTTGGCCCGGCAAGTCCACCTCCAAACCTGGCCGGACCTTCGAGCACCTACAAAAACTCACTCGCAACGGCTGGCGGTGGGCGCACACGGTGTGTAGCCATCATTTCCCATGTCATTTTCAACAACAAGCCCACCACGACCAATAACGTTCGACACGACTGCACGCAGGTCAGACCCTGGTGTCGAAGGACTCGTGCGGTCTCTCAGCGGAGCTCTCCCGGGTTTCCAAGACACCGAAACTGTCAACGTGAGCCCTTGCAATGATTTTCGCATTGCAATATCTAGCACAGTCACGCTGTCCGGGGGGTCCGTGGCGTTCCTTTTTTTCGGCTACATTTCGAGGGGCTCGTGTCCATGTTGTGTGTTGCATGGCGATGACGGGGCTATGGTTCGAAACCTGGGTTGCTGAGGCAACACCAGGCTCACTGAGACAAAAAAAATTACAAGTTGGAGCAGGGGTTTCGCGGTCTGGCTGCACGAGGAAACTCCTGAATTTCCAAGCGTTTTTCATTATCATGTATGTGTTATTGCTCTCGGGATTACCCTTTGAAGTGAGTTCAGGGTTTGGATGAGGCCTACCGCTATGGCCCCACCGATATGTGTCTTGTTGTGTATTCTCCTAGACCTCTGTCCTGGAGCTTAAACTCGTCCGGAAGATGAACGGGCGCCAAAACGCGCCGGCCAGGCCATTCTGCCGCCAAGCCACGCCACACTTTTCCGGTGTCCGGTCTCCATGCACCTTTTTCGGCGCGGCTCCAAACGGGCCAACCCCGTCGGTCTTCCCTGCAGCTACGGGAGCGCCGCCGCCGGTCGTGCCCCAGCCTACCGAGGATGCCGAAAAGCAGAGCGAGGGAGGACAGTAGGGTGCCGCACCCACCCCCGCAGCTGTCAGCACATGAGCTGGAGGGCATTGACGACTACAACGAGTAGATGCAGGGCACTTAGCAGCGGTCCCCGCAGATACCAGGGGCGCTGGCCTGCAACAACAGCGACAAGGTCTGGGGACCCCAACCATTAGTCCTTGCCTTGCGCTTTTTCTGTATGCAGCCGCTGCGGGCCCGACATCATGGCCCGCAGCGGTTGTATACAGCGGTTGCATACGGAAAAAGCACAATTTAGTTGATGATGGTTTGGGGTTGGGGTTCCTGGAACTCGCCGCGGCTGCTGCAGGCCAGCGCCCCTGGTGTCTGCGGGGGCCACTGCTGGGTGCCCTGCATTTGCCCGTTGTAGTCGGCAATACCCACCTGTTCTGGTGCTGACAGCGGCGGGGGCGGCCGTTTTTGAGGTCCCGCGCCCTGCTGTCCTCCCCCGCGCTTCGGCCCGGTGACCATCGGCTTCTCCTCTAGTGGCTATCGGCTTCCTCTTTGTGAGCAGAAGAACGACTGGCGGCGGCGCTCCCGTAGCCGCAGGAAAAACCGAAGCGGTGGGCTCGTTTGGAGCCGCAGCCGCGAAGGTAGATGGAAAGGGGGCACCCCTTCTGGCCGGGAGGGTGGGGTGTGACTCGGCCGCAGAGCGGCCCGCCTGCGGCGCGTAAGGCCGCCTGTTCATGTTGCGGACAAGTTTCAGATCCCCAATATCGCGGATAATATTGTCGGCGAATATTCCGTGGATATTGGGAAATATCTGGTACACAATTGGAGGACATCGTACGGTTCCTCACAGGCAAAAAGAAGTGGCCGTCCGGGGAACGCTGTAGCGCTCGCTGGATATCCGAAATCCCCAGCTCCAACACAGGTTGACAGGTAGTAACGACGGCGAGGTCAAAGTCGGCCCAGGGACCAAGCTTTCCGGGAGCTACGCTCGAGCAGGTTGATCGTCAAGATGTTCGGCAATGTGTGGGTAGAGTGCAAGCATGCGGCAAGCGCTGAAAAATCATACCGTAACGACGTCAGGCGACCCTGAGACAAGCGACCCCGGAATTTAGGGTATATGTACGTCCAGCACCACAGCCCTGAGATGTGCGGTGCACCTGCATGTAGTGTGAACATGCGGTAAACACCCCAGCAATGGCGAGGCCAAGTAGGAAACCACATCCGGACCCGACAGAGCCGACATACAGAAAACATTCTACCCACCCGGGTCTTTTACAGGAGCATCTCACGTCCGTTTTGTGCCGAATATAGGGTCGTGTGTGGTCCCGATTTTACTCGAAATTCGTTCGATCTAGCCGATAACGGTTTCCGGGCGACTTCTCTACATACCCTTGTACGGTCAACCGGAGCGCGACAAATCTCAACAAAAGCGGTCTACCTGCCAGATGCATAAATTATGCTCGCAGATTGAAAAAATTGTCTACCGTTTTCCAGTGCGTCGATTGGTTGTTACTGCCCGCGATCCCCTCTCAGTGAGAGAGCAGCCTGGACCCCGCTCGTCTTGCGGAGAACCGCATACTGGGTTGCCCCCTCCCTTCACGCGCTAGGCGCCGTGCCGCCGGCGATCCTTGGCTTTTATGCCCCAGCCCTTACTCGACCGTTCGTCGCCCGATTGTGTACTTTGTCGTTTTTGGTGTCCCCCATCATTCCTTTCTTGCTTCGGTCCTTCGTGTGCCGACTGAAATTCCAGGGGTTGGACGTGCTCATGCTCAAGAATGCCCAGGTAGGTGATGGGCGGTAGACAGGGGAGCTTTGGTGGTAGACGGTGCTTCGGTCACGATACTTTCTCTTTCTGTGCCGCCACTCTTCTGTCTCTACATGTGTCGGTAGTTCTACTTTGGGTCTGGTTCCGTATTTCGGCCAAGCGCGGGCCGAGTGCGTTCAACGGAATCCCAGTGTAGATACAGCTCCCAGAGGAACTTGGAGCGCGAAGAGGCTCGCTTGTTCGTGGATCAGACGGTGCGTTTGTTCCATAAATGCGTCTGAAGACCGAAGATCCGGGGTCGGCGAGAGTAGCGTCTTCCCGTGCCGTTGATCCGGGTGCGAGATCTGTTTTTCGTGTCTGAAGCGGTCTGTTTCCGGAAGTGGAGCTAACAGCTTGCGGTTGGGACAACACAGGGCATCGGAACATGACGGCAAGGGCGAAAACCTACTCTTCCGGGCACTGGCGCGGAGAAGAGCATGGCCGAGTCTGTCATGCGTGACTAGAGGAATATTTTGGACAGGTCTTGATTGCTTTGGCTGTTTTGCGCGCCGCTGCAGGTGCTGGCGGGCGAGCTAAGCGCAAGGATGGGGAAGGCCGTGGAAGACCTCCGGTTTGATGACTCGGACAAGCTTACCGCCGGTATGAAAATAGAATTCTCCACCATATTGCAGGGAGCGAAGCAAATTTCATGGTATGTATTCGGATAGAAAAGGGGCTTCCCGCCAGAGACCGGCGGAACTGAGCGGATGACGCTCTGGAAAATGATGTGCCGACACAGTCTGGCGGTTCAATACAAGGCGACGGCCAGCAACGATAAACTTAGCAAGTCCTTTGCGACAAGTCCTTTGCGACATGATGGTGTCCAGTCGTTATTCGTTTCCTTTTTTTTTTTTGCGATGGAGGGCCGTTGCCGACGGGCGACGGGTTGTTCAGCTGTACCTCTTGGTGCAGGCCATTCGGAGATAAGGGTCAGCCTGGCCTTGTTTCTTGTGGGACACAAGCAAGGCGCTGCATGTCCTTCTTAACCTGTCAATTGACGCCTACGACAATACAACGAACCCCAGAGCATGATTGATTTCGTGCTTCGAAGCGGATTCATTCGTCGCCGGAAAGAGACACTTTTGTGTGTGCTACAGATCATTGTTCGTCGTAGGTTCGATGTTAAACGCGTCGTTTTCTCTTTGCGTCGTCAACACCAGGTTTGCGCTGCCCCCTTTCGTTCCTTCTTCACTGTGCGTGGTGCTTTTGCAGTGGCGGACGCCGACGTCATCACGGCTCTCATCACCCTAGGAATCCTCGAGCCAGCGACAACGGCAACGCCAACAGGGACTGCCGAAACGGTGGCAGACGGGGCGCCGCGAGAGGGTGGGGAGATAGCCGAAACGGCGGCGGGAACAAGTAGCGCCGACGGGCGCCCGGGTCAGGCGTTCAAGCCGAAGGACACGGCAGAGCTGAGGGCCGTCGCAGTACAGGCAGGCGAAATATATCACGTTCAGTGATGCTTGCTCGTGATGTGTGGGAAATGTCTCGCCTATTTGCTGTTAGTTTTATCTCAAGGTGTAGGGAAGAACACAGCTCCGGGCGGTGTATTTCAGTCCAGCCAAATTCTCCATTATTTTCTTTCTTTGCCAATTTCCAACGATCGACTCCTACCTCCTGCACACACCACCACGGCTCCCTCTTTGAATCTGCACGCTGGCACCCCATGACTACATAGCCGACGCGTTCAAGGCTGGAACGAAACGAAGTAACCAGAACGCCTCCGGATAACCGGGCCAACATACACTGGTAAAGGAAGTGTAGTATGATTCCCAAAGCCTATGCCACCGGGGATGCCCGATTCACCACGATTGGCCATGAACGCTACCATGTCCTCCTACTGCCCGACGCGCACAGTGCCCCAACGCCATGACGTGCTCGTGTGGGTCTTTCTTCGTTGTGCAGGCGTGCCACAGAATGGCGGAGTCCCTGGGGGAGGACTACCGGCCGCACGAGCTGTCCTTGTACCTCAAGCGACTATCGCGGCGGAAAGAGTACAAGGATGCACCACGTTTCTTACCCAGGGAGTCTCGAGCGTTATGAAGGATAACCGGTTTGGAAGCCGGATGCAGTTGATGGCCCTTGATTGCGCTGGCTCTTCTAGCTGCACCGGGGTGTCGATTGGGCAAGCGATTGAATGCAATGATTCTGAAATGCCGTCTCGGCCTGTTCTCGAAGCGCTCGACCGGCATGTTGACTCGTCTTCCCCTTGGCTGTAGGGGAACGTTGATGTGAAAACAAGTTGATATGGAGACGTGCCGGTATCGTTCGTGGGCAGGTCTGTGATCTCGCTCGATTGGGCTACAGCCCCGTTGGCTAGAAGCATGTTTTTGGTTCGATTCCCGCACGGAAGGGTTCGTTTCGTGCAATTTGTATTGGAATGCAGTTTAATTTCGCGAACACTGCAGTTACACTTTCTGCCGTGTCTCCGGCGGGACCTCGTTGTTGGCCTTGGTGAAATGGGCCTTGCGTAGAAAGCCTTGTGTTTGCCGCGCGCGGAACAATCTGTGCTGATGTGACCACACAGACATGGGTGGAATATCATTTGCACCTGAGGCAACCTATTGAAAATGCAATGTCAACTAGCCTCGCGCTTCAGGGGCTTCACTTGCGCTACTGCAGTTAATTCCAAGTTGTTGTAAGAGCTTGGAAGATAAAACCCACTCGGGTCATCGCACATGTCCGAACACACCATAAGAAGAACGTGCACTCCTGTAAATTTGCTCAAGGTCTGATCGTCCGGTGTTGCCATTATCGATAAAGTGCATTCATTCGCACGTGTGCACGCCCGGATGTCAAGATGATGGCTCGTCCCGGCGGTGCTCGCCGCCACCTTGTCTCTCTTGCACCACACCCTCCCAATGGACTCTGTACAGTTCTAGTATGGTGGAGGAATCCCCACGGCCCTTGGCGTTTTCTTCAGGGACCTCGTGTCATTCTACCTTTTTAGTATCTCGATGTGTGTTCGTTCACATCCATTCGCTGTCTTGGCGCGCGCACGAGCGCCAATTCAGACAACCTCTTTCTTCCTACACAAGTTTCCACGTGGACAATACCCAGTCACTCTACACGATGAGTGAGCCTTTGTATACACTGTCAAAGACAGTTGATGCAACGAGTCATCATTCTAGTAGCTCTATCACCATCGGGATCACCTTCTTGGTCAGAGCTCCCCTATTTGATCCGACGGCAAAAGGCCTATGCTCCTTCCTCACCCACTGCCTTTCGTCTTCACATTTCGCTTCAAATGTCTTGGTCGCCCTCGGAGACAGAAACGAATTGGTCATCGACCCTAGAGATGAAACAACTGGGTAGCCCACGGCTGATGTCTGTCCCAGGAATCGTCGTAGAGATGGGACTCCCCTCGCCCCAGCTGGCTTCGTCAAGTGAACCGTCGTTCCTACACCCACTAATCCCAGCAACACCTGGATAACGTGTGCGTCCTTGTACTTCAGCGGGGAAACGCGGGTCATTCTTGCAAACCATCACAGCAGTGGAACGGTCCAACCGTGGTCAAAGTTTGTTTTGATTTCTTCGCTGACTTCGCCTACATCATGAAGCTGAAGCAGGACCACTACACGTCACATGTCAAAAACGTGAGTGTGTGTCGATGAACCCCTGACTGCCACCCGCGGCAACATTCTTACCCTAAAATAGCTTTTTTTCCCTAGAGAAGAAAATGATACCGCGCAGCGTCATCGACGGTACCGTAACGACAAAGGCTTGCAGGGTTCAAAATATTCAAAAGTTTCAAGGGGGTTGTCTAGGGAGTGGCTATCGAATAACGTGGGAGTCATCATGATCGGGTAGAATTGTAATCGTCAAGTAGGACCGCCCCACATCGAATCATCGTGTGACCTCACCGGGTGGTGTTCAGCAACGTTCTTTGTAACCATGCGAAGTTTTATGGACTCAATTCTTGTTGTTGGTAGAGGACGGCGTTGTTACTGATGCTGATGGCCACATACTGTTCGTGTGTTTGGATACGGACAGGTATTGATCGACCACAGTAACGGATATATTCGCAGATAGGAACGTAGACATACCATTTTGGGGTTCTTGTGTTTGTGACCCCTTGCTTCAAACGGAAGCACTCTTCTTCTTCTCTTCTCTTGCTTCTGCGTTTCTAATACAAGCGATATTCAGTCTCTCCCTTCCAAGTCGCGGACATATACAACA